GGGGGGGTGACTCCGCTGCGGGGGGCGCACGGGCCCGGACCCCCCCCCTTTGCCCCCGTTCCCGCTCTGTTCCAGGCTCCCAGCTCCGTTCCCGCTGCCCTTCCCCTCCGCAGGCTCTTGAACAACGAGGGCTCCCTGCTCGCCTACTCCGGCTACGGGGACACGGACGCGCGCGTCACCGCGGCCATCGCCAGCAACATCTGGGTGGCCTACGACAAGAACGGGCACCAGGCCTTCAACGAGGACAACCTCAAGTTCATCCTCATGGACTGCATGGTGCGCCCCCCGTGCCGCCCGGCCCCCTCAGCTGCTCCCCCTGCTTTTCAATGATTTTTCCCCTTTTTTCCCCCTTTTCCCACCCCTCAGGAGGGCCGGGTCGCCATCACGCGCGTGGCAAACCTGCTGCTGTGCATGTATGCCAAAGAGACAGTCGGGTTTGGGATGCTGAAAGCCAAGGTAAGGCAGGAGCTGCCAGACGGGGCGGGCGGCAAAACAAGGAATGTTGCRCAAATCCCTTAAGGATGTGAGTAGAAGTGATGGAGAAGGCGGGGAGGGGGCTGCTATGGCACCTCTCGTGCAATAAATGCTGCTTCTTTGAAGCCCCCACGTGCAATTAAATTAAAATGCAGTGAACTTGGAGCCACCGGGACGCGGGTCGGAGCTCACGGCRCTCCCTGCCCGCAGGCACAAGCCCTTGTCCAGTACCTGGAGGAGCCGCTGACGCAGGTGGCCGCGTCCTGAGCGCTCCGAGGCCAGCGCCGTCTGCTTGCGCCCCCGGAGCCCGCACAGGAAGATGGGAACCAATCCCAGCGTTCTGCCCTGCCTTGGAAAATATGGGGAGCGGGAGGGAAGCGGGGAATAAAGTCGTGGTCGATGCTCGTGTCCTGCCTTGCGTGTGTTTGGTTTTTAAATGAAGAGCAATAGGGTTTGGGAGTGGGTTGGTGTCTGCTGGGCTCTGCGGCGGGCAAACTGCAGCGAAGCGCAGCGAGATGCAGCAGGACAGAGCGAAATGCGGGGGCGGYCTGCAGGATGCACGAGCCCCTTAGGGGCCAACCCAGCGCCGGGTCCCCCGTGCCGGCGGCTCTCCCGCTCTTCCCGTCTCTCGCACGATGGCAGCAGAGACGCGGGGAGGCGCCGGGGCCGGCGGTGCCAGCGCCCTGCGGCTCCTCCTCCTCCTGCCGCGCGGTCCCGTCCCGCGGTGGTGGTGACATTACCTGCCCGACCTGCGCCACCGCCTTCCCCACCCCTTGAGTCAACGCGAGCGGCACCGCGGCCTCCGAAACTCCGCGCCGGCGCCGCCATGGGCGCCACCGAGGAGGATTACAACTTCGTCTTCAAGGGTGAGCAGCGGCGGCAGCGGCGCGGGCCGGGGGCGCGGGGCCCGTGACCGCCCGCGTGTGCCCCGCAGTGGTGCTCGTGGGCGAGTCCGGCGTGGGCAAGACCAACCTGCTGGCGCGCTTCACCCGCAACGAGTTCAACCACGAGAGCCGCACCACCATCGGCGTGGAGTTCTCCACGCGCACCGTGCTGCTCGGCGCCGCCGCCGTCAAGGCGCAGATCTGGGACACGGCCGGGCTCGAGCGCTACCGCGCCATCACCTCGGCGTAAGGGCCGCGGCGCGGGCACGGCCGGCACCCCGACGCCGGCGCGCTCACGGCCCTGCCCGTGCCCAGGTATTACCGGGGCGCCGTGGGCGCCYTGCTGGTCTTCGACATCACCAAGCACCAGACGTACGACGCCGTGGAGCGCTGGCTCAAGGAGCTCTACGAGCACGCCGAGGCCGCCGTCGTCGTCATGCTGGTGGGCAACAAGACGGACCTGGCGCAGGCTCGCGAGGTGCCCGCCGAGGAGGCGCGCATGTTCGCAGGTGCGGGAAGGGGCCGGGACGGGGACGGCGSGTGCAGCGGGCGCCGCTCAGCCCCGTCCCCGCAGAGCGCAACGGGCTGCTCTTCGCCGAGACCTCGGCGCTGGACGCCACCAACGTGGAGCTCGCCTTCGAGAGCGTCCTCAAGGGTAGGGCGCCCGTGAGGATGCTCCACGCCTGCCGCGGCTCTGTCCCCTTCCCTCACCCCCCGAGCAGCCCATTCCTGGTGCATCCAACCAAYGCGGGTGTACCCAGGAGCGGGATGCACGGGGAACACCGGGGCAAAGCCCTATGCGGGCGCTGGGCAGGAGGAAGCTGCCGAACGCCCGGGGTGTTCCCGGGCACCCAAGGGAGCGCTGTGGGGCAAGGCGGCCGGCGGGGAGCCGGGCGCTGAGCCGGGTCCATGCCGCGGCGCTGCTCTCTTGCAGAGATCTTCAGCAAGGTGCAGAAGCAGAAGGAGCGTGGCGGCGCCGCCGGCACCGTGGAGCTCGGCGGGGAGCACGCCGGGAGCGCGGCGCCRGCACGGCCGGAGCGGCGGCCCTGCTGCCTGCCCCTCTGAGCGCCGCGGCCTCCGCCATAAACCCCGGCTGCCGCAGCTCCGCTCTGTCCGCCTCGTGGTTGCTGCGCTCCGAGCCGCCTTGTGCCCGGCACACGGACGCTCCCGGTGCCCTGTGGGGTGACAGCCTGGCTGCGGGTGGCATCTGCGCGGCTGCGTGGGGCGTGTGACCGGGATCGCGTCCACGCGCCTCTCCTGAACCTCCACTCCGGGAATTCCAGGGGAGACGGGAAAGCCACCTCCAAATAAAGAAAGCGGTCGCTGCCCCTTTAAGGCGCAGGTGAGGCTGCCTGCCTACCTGCGCCAGGTGAGCACCTGCAGCCATGACAGGCAGCCCGGCCGGCCAATGGGAGCCGAGGGGGGAGCGGCGGCGGCCAATGGGGGTGTGGCAGGGGCAGGTGTGGGCAGGACAGGTAAGGGCGGGTAGGGGTGAGGGTGAGGAGCGTGAATTCCTCTTCAAAGGTCACTCCGCAATGAGTTGTGTCCGGCCTCAGCCCTGCACTTATCATCCCCCCGGGGTACGGCGTTTCCTGGATGCTTGTCCAGTGCCACCTTCCCAAAGGCTCCGCCAGCGCCGGGGCCACCCGCGTGTGCTCCAGCTATTCCCAGTGTGGGGATAGCTCCCGCCCGGCTCCCTGGAGAGGCCGAGAGCCAGGGCTGGGACCGGAGCTCTGCTGAGGCCTCCGGAGCGGGAGGAGGAGGAGGAGGAAGAGGAGGGAGCCTGGTTGGGATGAGGAGCCCGGGGAGGAGGGGGGAGCAGCTGCCGGTTCCACCGGGGATCTGCCGGGAAAGCGGCTGCATCCCGGGAGCCGCGTCTCTGCGAGCGGGAGCGGGGCAGCTTCCCTAGGGGAGGGGGCTCTGCAGCCCCCCCGTAGCRGCAGGACGGGGCCGGGCGCAGGGAACGGGGCACAGGAGCCTCCCTCGGAGGCGCCGGGTCCCAGGCTCCGGGGCAGCCKGCACGAGGCCTCCAGGAGGCTGCGGCACCGGCTCTGCCCGAAGCGGCCCCGCTGCGGCGGGCACCAGAACGCCCGGCCCGGCCCRTGCCCGCGGCCACGGTGCCCGCAACGAGGACGAGGAGGAGGAGGRAGCKRCTTCATCRCAGACACGGGCTTTGTGTCCCCAGCCGCACGGACAACCCCCCCTCCCCGAGCAGCTTCCTTGGATGCAGCCCGTGGTTCCCTGGTAAACGCCACCTCTGTGCCCAAAAGGAGGCTCCGATGTTGTCCCCCGTGTCCCCCCATCCTGCTCCCGGGGGACAGAGCAGCAGCACCGGGAGCTGCCCCGGAGCCGCCGTGCGCGGGACGGGGCGGGCGCCGCTGCGGAGCCGGGGCCACCGCGGCCACCGGTGCCGCCCCACGGCGTGTCCGCCCGGAGCGCGCGGCGGGCCTGCGGGCACCTGCTTTTAGCTACTTTCGTTGCTTAAATTTTACTATTTTTCCTAGCATTCCCACGCGATGTCGGCAGCTCGGCTGCCGCTTCCCGGCCTCTGGGGCTGTTGGATGTGGGGGACGGTGGCACCGGGGTGATGGTGGCACCCGGGTGACGGTGGCACCGCGGTGGCATCGCCCACCTCCCAGTGTGGCATCGCGCACCCTACTGGGCAAACTGGGCAGAGTCGCGAGGCGAGCGGGTGATTGGCAGGTGTCAATCAAAAGGGAGATGGGCACGTGCAGCACCCACTGTTGTCCCCCCAGGGTGGGGGGGGTCAGGGTGGCTCTGCCCCTCGTCACACCCYTGCTTTGGGTGCAATTTATGGCCAAAAGGGAAATTTGGGTGCGATCCCAAAGGGAAGCCGCTGCCGGAGGCTGCAGTGCTCCCGGGGCCAGGAACGGGGCTGGCTCCAGGCTCCGCTTCCCAGCCGGGGCTCATCCTGTCACCCCAGAGCCGGGAGCCGGTCCCGAGCACTGCCCGCATCCGGGAGGAGGAAGAGGATCGGGAGGAAGGCTCAGCATCCCGGCCGGCTTCGCCCCTCCGGCATTTCCAAAGCGCGAAGAGACGGAAAACCAGGAGCAGACGCCTAAGTTTCTTAAGTAATAATACTTTAATAAAATTAAGTTCTTAATGTAATTTAGCACATTTAATACATTAACCCTTTCCCTTCTTTGTTTTCTACAAGTTGTGCAACATCATTATTTTAATTTTTTATTTTAATTTTTTTTTTTCCTTCTCCCCTTATACTATATGCCTCAAAACTCAGACAACGAGCCTAACTCTACTTCTATGTTCGCTTATGTCTCTCTCCCAGGCCTTTATTTTTGCGGAACGCCGGAGAGAGGAAAATACCCGGCTGGAACGTGCGACGGGCTTCCAAGAGCAACAATCCCGACTAGGGGTTTCCTATGACGGTGAAAGCAAAGAAAGAAAGAGGGAGAAGGGGCTTGAAGTGCCGGCGGCGGCGGAGCCGGGATGGGCACGAGGGCGCGGGCGGAACCGAGGGGAACCCTCCGTCCGGCGCCTTTCCCGTTGCCCGTATCCCGAGGAGAAGCCTGGGCTTCTCTGCGGGTTTTCCGATTCTCCGAGGCTGGAATGGAGGCGGCCTCCACACCTCCGGCCTCTGCATCCCCCGGCCTCCGCATGCCCGGCCTCCGCGGTCCCTTTGAGGAGCAAATCCTAGGGGCGAAGCAGGATCTGGCCCCCGCTTGCCCCTTATTCTTACACCTATTTGGAACAGGCGCTCTGCTCATGAAGGAAAAAAAGGAAAAGTGCTGCTGGTTTTGGGGGAGCGGGATGCGATCCCATGGGCGAGCACCACTTCCAACGGCAGGGATACGCTGGGAATGACGGCGGGAGCCCAGGCTAGCCGCTGCGCCGAGCGTCGCGGGGCTGGCGGGAACAACCCCCACGAAAGGGAGATTGTTCCCTACGAGCCTGGAAAAGCTTGGGGCTTTTTCCGGGAGAACGGACCCGTCCCGGGTGTTTCGGCGCCCGGCGAAGCCTCGCGGCCCCTCTTCAAGTATCGGACCCAAGAATGAGGTAAAASGCAAAGGAAAGAGCGGGGCGGCCGGCGGCGCCGCGTCCCGCGGGAACGGCTCGCAAAGGGAGCCAAACCAACCGAAAACAGGGAATGGGACGACCAGAGCGTCCGCTCCGGCCCCGGCACCGTCCTCCCGCTGCCGCCCCGGCGAGCGGGGCAAAACCCGGCAAAAACAACGGCCTCAACCTTCCTGGGTTTGCTCAGTGACTAGCCAAATCTTTATAGTTTTTTTTTTCTCTTTTTATTAAAAAAAAAAGCAACATAAAAACCCAAACGTATCTTTTTAAAAAAATACATATTATTAGATCCCATCTTTTTTTTTTTTTTT